TGTTAAATATATATATATATATATATATATTTAACATATAAGATATTAAAATCATCAAGTCAAAATTATGCCTTAGCATTCCTTAAAAGACAAGGTTGATAAGCTCTAAAGACAGGAAGAAACCTTTGAATTCCAAATTCTCGATCCCCATTCTTTATGGTATATTTTTATTCAGAATTTTTTTTAAAATATCATTATCTTTTCTTCAAACAAAAACATGTTTACTTAAGTATCAAAGAGTTTCTAAATTCACTAAAATTAACCTTTTACAGATATCAATCACTAACTACTCTAACTTACTAAATATTAGACACCTTAACTAGAAAGAATGGAATAGATTATCAGAACTAAAAGATTAACCAAAAAGCTCGGGGGTCTAGCTGTTGTTGTCTTTGCAAACAAGGTTAGAAGTTGAGGCAGATGTATGCCACCTTAGGAACCTCCATAGTTGAGACTGGTACATCAATCTCTATAAGGCTGAAGACCTTCTTTTTCTTAAAGGGAGCATCAACACCCACAATTACTTTAGAGGTAGTTAAATTATCTTAACCCCTGGATGAGGGAGTATGACTACCCTCAAATTTTCTTTTACAAGAGTTTTGATTGTTTTCTTAGGAAAAGAGCCATTAGAAACAAAGAGTTCAACGATGATGGGATAGTTCTTCATCACTTCTTCAACTTTACCTCAAATTACAACAAGATACAAATAATTTCTTTGTGAACTCTCGTCCATGGATCTCGTTGAAGTTTTTCCTTATCATTCAACTATTAGTCTTGTAAAAAAGAAAGTTAGCAATAAACTTAGATACACATAAAATAAAGAATAAGAAAGTTGCATTCTTTGCAATGCGACATGATCTTTAGCTATCTTATTAACTCCATACTTAGTTAAGGTCAAGGCTAACACAACATGTTTTTTCCTCATTCGAGCTTAAGCTATACTTGTGGTTTACATTAAGAGGAGGAACCCTCCAATAATGGGAACAACCCTAGATCTATTGCATTCCACCTCTAGAACTAACTGGTCTGCTATACTTTATTATTAGTAATCTCTTCCTTCATTTCTTAATATACACAAGCATTCCACATAGAGTTTCCTTCATGACTCTAGTAAGTCTGTTGGTGAAAATGAAAAACCAATGTATGTCATTGCCATCATTGGTGCTAGCAACCAGATGGTAATAATTTCTAAAGACATTAATTATAGGCTTGATTCTAACAAGCTTAGAAAACTTATCAAAGTCAAATAAAGTTATCTACCTATTAGGAGTAGCTGGATTAGACCTAATTTATAATATCTAAACACTTAGCTCATAAATCCTTGGAAAGAGAAGGATTACGCCAATGCATACATGTGAAAGGGGGCTAAATCTCAAACTGACCTTGGGTTGCCAATTAATATGCTTAATACAATCAAGCATTTAAGCTGTGTACTTTCCTAACTATAGGTAAGTAACAAACTTTATATCCTCTACACCTAAAGTGTTAGGAGCGTTATCCTCAAGTGTCTCAGGTAATCTTTTTTTCTTCTTACATTCTTTAGTAATGGCAAGAGAATAACTTCTTCTACTAGGAAAGCTACTCCTTCCTGCTAGATGTGGATGTCGGGGCATCACCCTTTCTAATTCTAAAGCCCAGTCTAATGGACCTTTGCCCCTCACTGTTTCTTCCAGGCAAGCTATACTAACTTGCACAATCTCACATTATCTTGTACTTTATTTTTATCAAATAAGTAGGGGTGGTGAGATTTGAACTTATGGCCACTTGGTCATCAAGGCTTTGATACCATGTCAAAGAACTATCTCAAACTAATAACTTAAGCTGTTAGATGAGGTCCTATGATATGATTTATATTATTCTCCAACACACCCCTTAAAGTGAAAGCCCTTTAGACTTAAAACTTGTATAAGTCCACAATACATTCTGCTTAATTTTTATCAAATAAATAAGGATGATGAGATTCAAACTCGTAACCGCTTAGTAATTAAGGCTTTGATACCATATCGAAGAACTATCTCAACCTAATAGCTTAAGCTGTTAGATGAGGTCCCAGGATATGGTTTATATTATTTTCCAACAGTTAAGGAACCATCTCAACCCAATAGCTTAAGCTGTTAGGTGAGGTCTCATAAAATAATTTATATTATTCTCTAATACACACCCTCAAGTGAAAGCCTTTTGGGCTTGAAACTTGCACAAACTAGCATTACTTTGTGTTTAATTTTTTATCAAATAAATAAAGATGGTGAGATTTAAACTTGTGATCGCTTAGTCGTTAAAGCTCTGATACCATGTCAAAGAACCAATTCCACGAAAAAGCTTAAACTTGTTAAGTAAGGTCTTAAAATATGATTTATATTATTTTTTAATAATAAAAAACTTTCGTACATGAGTTATGGAGTAAATAAAGGACTTATAAATAGGGTATACCTCATGCTTTTAAATGCTTGATTTTCTTGTGATCAGGAACTTTCATAAATGATGAGTCCTGTAATCTATCCATGTGAAATTAAAGTTCTACATTATAATTAAAGTTAGAATGAATCTTCATCCATAAGCAGGAATCTTGAAAATCAAGAATTGATGGAGGGAAAATATAGATTATATGTAGTAGCACAAATCCAATTATTAGACAACATAAGGAAGGGGCCATCAATCTATTATGATAGGGAAAAGATCATGAGTGAGGGAGGAAAAGAGAAAAGAAATAAAAATTAAAAAGGAAGATATTCCTTGATTTTATAAGCAAACCTACAAACTTGCGGTGTTAACATTATAAATAGGTTGCCCTCTCAATTGAAGAAAAAGAAAAAAAGTCGTTTTTAGCACAAAAACCTTACAAAAAAACTCTCTTCATGCACTCGAATCTTCCATATATAGCACACCGTTCTCTCTCTCCTTTGCAAAACCAAACATGCACTAGACCACTTATTTTGTCCACTCCTTTTCTGTTCCTTGCCACTTGAACCTCTGACTAGCTCTCGCGCAAGCAAGTAGCCAACTAGATATTTAGTGCACTCTCTTAGGTAATACTATTGTAATCTCCCTCCATGTAATCCATGCTATATTTACAAATTTATAACCAAATTTTAATTGCTATAATCAAACCCTTCTTATAATTTGATTTGAGATTAATTGGTACAAAATTAAAAGTTCTATTCTAATTCTTATTAATTTTGAGTTTGTATGATGTCTAATCGCTATCTAAAAATAGATGGATCAACTCACTTGAGAACTTATAAATATAATTGATTAGCTAGCGAACTTGAGCCCATGATAGGAAACTTTAACGAAGCTAGGATTAGCTAACTTTTCCTGATCCACGCTTAGTTAAACTTAGAACCTTCCCTCAAGTTACCTGTAAATCATGGAGCATGTTGTCTGTGCATTTTGTGTGCCGAGTTATTGTGTTTTCACACCTACTTCTTTTGCAGCTCTCAACTTAATAAGAACATGTCTCTTTGATTCCTAACATGATGGTGCCAAATATTAGTGAAACTACCAGGAAAGCGCCCACTAAGGTATTCCTCATTGAAACCGAAACTCTCCAACAACGAGAGGAAGATTGCCAAATCATGGAAGCCAATGCTCTAACCACGTTAAGAATCAATGGAAAGACCAACGACATGTCCCAACTACGGACTGCGTTCGAGAGATTGAGTGAACATAATCAAGTAGAATCTGAGAAGCGTTATGGGTGAATGG